TTGAAATAACTAATTCATACTGAGTGTAATGTAAAGAAAGTATTAAATAGGCCATGAGATGACATAGAAATGAGGATGAATAAATTTAAATACAGGTAGGTCTATAGTATTATGAAGGTATTAAAAGGTAAAAGGTAAAGTTGTTCCTCTGCTCAACGAATTAAGCCCTACGCCATTAAGGCGTGTGGGGGAGTGGATGTATAGATCCAAATTTTCTTGACCTCGGCACTAGTTGGAGGTGAGTGGTCAGCTTCACGCCCCGGCCGCTTTACCCCCGGGGAAAGAGCCCCCGGTACCCATTGGATAGGAGGTTGGATGGACCCCAGAGCCGGTCTGGACGATTTGGAGAAGTTAAAATTCTTGACCCTACCGGGACTCGAACTCCGACCCTTCACAGTCGTCCAGCCCGTATAATAAAATTTGGCTTAACCGGGTTTTCGATTAACCGTGACTTCCATCCCCACCATTAGCCCGGATAATCGAGAGTTGACTGTATACAGTTTGAGCACAAATGAGTTTTACACCTTCAGAAATTTACTACAAAGCAATGGGGCGAGATATAACACCTGAACTTACATTAAACTACTACTTGTCATCGAGTATTGGAATGTACTATTTTCACTGAAAAGAATTTTCAGGAAATTGGATGAATAACCAGTGGAGCTTGACTGGTCCTTGCACCATGACCATCAGTGATATATATATACAGGCACTTACCTTCACATGGTACATCAGTGTGTTATATGCTCCATTTAGAAACTCCACACAAAACTCCTTCAGGAATAGTCGGATACTAAAAGCAGATCGTCGTTGTAACTCTTCATCTCTCATAGGAAGACGATTCTTTGGTCTCCTCTGCTTTGTCTATAACAACATAAAAATAAATATAATTAGGTGTAGATTTGTGCATAAGTTGATAAAACAGAAGCAACGGCCACTGGCAATGTTCATGTGACCTAAAATGGATTAAAGCCAATTAGTCACAACAATAACAAAATCTTCCATAATTTAAAAAACCAAGAACGTTTATTAGAAAAACAACATTCCATTTTAAGAGAGAACAAGATTCAGTTCCACAATCAGAATGTCAAAATATTGTTACATGCATGGAATAAAATCCTTCCCAAGAAGCTGACAGTATCTCAGCTGGTTAAGAAATTCCCAGCCTTTTAAATAATCTGAAGAATCATTACTGCACTCCGAGGAGCCTCAACAATTGGCCCTATCCTGAACCAAATAAGCAAAGTTCACGCCTTCAAACCCTATCTCTCATAAGATTAGTTTTAATATTATCTCCTTCTATATTTAGGTTTTCCAAGTGATATTTCATATTTTCCAACAAAAATTTCATATTTCAGCTGCCCCATGTGCTACATTTCCCACTCATCATATCCTTTACTTGTCAACAACAATTATAGTTCTGTCACAAGTCTAAATGGTCACACAAATCAATGGTTGAAGCATGAACTAAATTAAACTATTTTTACAAATCTTTCATAAAAGCTTAGAGGGAGTTTTAATAGTATTAACTGAAAGTGACCCCCTCCCCTCAATGTGATTTCCATGTGGACATTTGGAATTATAATAACAATTACTAACTGAAATCAAAGGCCATGCCATAGCTCAAACGGTTAGTCGCTGGCTTCCCAACGCGGCGGCCCGGGTTCGATCCTGGGTCTGGTCAAGTGGGATCTGTGTTGGATAAAGTGGTGCTGGGGCAGGTTTTCTCAGATTACTTCGGTTTCCCCTGCCAATCTTCATTCCACCAATTTCTCCACAATCACCCTCACCTATCATCTGGGGCTGGTACAATAGGCCAGAAGTGGACGCAGTACAAGGAACTTAGTCCCACCTCACTAGCAATAAAAAAAACTGAAATCAATAATCTTAAGCCTTATGCTGTCTGATATTAGGCTGTATGGCCTGTTTCAGGCTCTCTCTCTAGTGATCTTCCTATTCTTCTCCCTTTGTGTATGTGTATGCTATGATGTTTGGGTTCTCAAACTAGGCAATACCACAACCCCCAAAACAAAACATAAATTTATGTGACTCTCTGCTCGTCAGTGAAAAGTATGGTCCTGTACATTACTGCCAATTCCCTTCATTACATACAGGGACAGCATGAACCTAAGTTCTTTACAGTCTCTACACAGCTACAGAAAGCTACAAAATAATCCTGTACAGCCATGAAAAAATTTGCTACATATTCTGAAAACACCCATATTAATTCTTACTGATCTATCATGCACACATGGGGAAAAAAAATTCCTTTAAAATTTTGATCAAAAACTCCTCCCAAGCAAAAGACTATTTCATAGACCTATTGACAAATGAGACAAATGATAAACAAATAAGTTGTGGCTGGTCTGAACTAAATATTAGGGTCAGTATGTTAAGAAATGTTAAATAAAAGTCACAGGCACAGCATTTGGTTTCCTCTGACACCAATAAAATCTATCATGAAATAAACGAAAGAGGAAATACAGTATGCGCCAAAAGATTCAGTACTGAAATGAAAAGATGTCCTGTTGATACCAGTGTCTATTCATGTGAAGGCCTCTTACACGACAGAACCTTCTCAAATCCTGAAGAAATGGTCCGATCACCATGTCCCTGTAGCGTTCTTGGGTGACTGTAAGAGTATTGCCTTCCTCATCCTCAATGAAATAGGGGCCTAATATACTGTGTGCTGAGGCATCACACGTGTACTACGTACCAGTTTCTGGACGATAACATCTGGCCGCTCAAAACCAAGGAAGTGAGTTGTCTGGCGACCACTTCCATACGAGTGGAAATAATACTCAACTATGAATACTTTTTCCTCCATTGAGAGACCCATTTCCAACAACTGCACAACACAACTTCCTTTTCACTACTTGGGAACATGTGTGGCTGGAGCTATGCCCCATTGAGAAACGCACATGTGCGTTCGAGATGCGCGAGTTTCAATACTGCATATTTTGGCGCATACTGTACAACTATTTAATATGGCAATTTAGAGGCAGAAAACATATGGTGGGAACTGTGTCAGGAAATGTTGTACCAGAACTGAATATCAATTACAATATTAAAAATATTTTCAGTACCTTGTCTTGATCAAAATCCAAAGAATCTAATGTGTTCAAAGGCTTGTGGTAAATAATATCACTGTCACTAATAGACTTCATGTCCCTCAGCACATACGTGCCTCCAAACCGTGAGTGCCTGTATATATGAGATAAGAATGTTATTAAAACACTTTATTAGTAAAAAGCACTCTTCAGTCAAGAACAAATATTAATTGTGATGCCATGCAGTCTGGTAGAAGTTTACTGACATTCCTCCAAAACATCAGCAAACTTTTTTGAACTAGATGGTATCACATTCCAGAGGATGGAGCTCTTCATATTCACTTCTAAGAGAACTTCAAAACGTACAGAAAAGTAAATAACAGCAAATCAAGTTCTACATTCTCTGAATGTAAAATAAATCCACCGAAAATAAATATCTTGCAGAGCGGAAGCAAGCAAAAGGCTCATTCCTCTCTTATTTATTTTTAAAGTAAACTGCTGAGTTTATGAGTGTTCCATACACAATGCTTTTATATATAAAACATTTCAATACAATTTCATCTTAATGCCATAATCTGAAGAGATGTCCTATTATTGTTTATGTTCCAATGAAATTATTCTAACAAAAATTATGTATTATTTAAAAATCTATTACCATACATGATTTCAAAATCCACACTGTATGCAACCAAAGGGATCTGAGAAGGCATGAGAATGTGGATATCTCTCGCCATACTCACAAGACCCATCAATAAAGAACAGTCAATTTATTTTGGTAGGTTATTTTATGATGCTGTCAGTAACTAGACTATACAGCATGAATGACCAATGATGAATGATGAAATGGAAAAGATTTGAAAGGAAGCAATCATGACCTAATTGAAGTATTATGCTGGCACTGGGCTAAAGGAACTGAGGAAAACTATGGAAACCTGTCAGGATAGCCAATGTCCTGGCTGAGATTCGAACTGAGCACCTACTGAATATAATATATTAGTTAGTTATTGGAGAGGGTGGGTTTCCCCATGCACTTAGACCAGTATTGGTCCATTGTGCTTCTCTCTATGATATTCTACCAGTCTCTATACCCTACCGATATTGGTGCGTACCATCAGTCCCGACCGAGCCAGCGAGTTCGGCCTCTACTGGCTTGGCAGTATCTATAATGCTTCCCCCATCTATCAGAGGCATCAGAGACTACTGTTGGGCAGGAAATGTCCTTGGATTTGGCTCAGTGACCTCCTTTGGAGATATGAGGTTCTTTTACGTGCCGTAAAGCTACGACACGGGACCCATGGCTTAAAGTCCCTCCCGGAAGACTTGTTCCCTGAATTTTTTCGCCTTTAAAAATTCCACGACCTCCACCGGGTTTGAACCCGCGTACCACGAGTCATGAGGTGGGAACGTTACCTCTAGACTACGGAGGTCGCTAATATAATATAGTACTGCTATACCAACCTGCTCAGTCACCAAATTTCTGTTTTCATACTGTTATGAATTTTCTGTATTTAGTATAACTTTAAGGAGACTGTCAATTATAACAGAAGTTCTTGAAGCACATGATTTCTATTATTATAATTAAGCTAGAAACAATAAAGTAGTTTAGTATAATGCTACTGTTTTGTAATTCAAATTACAGTACATTATTTTCAGCTGGGGATAATAATGAGAATTAATACATGCAGACCCTGTGTTTATTTTTCAAAATGGTTACTGTTCTTCCATGTGACACAATGTAAATAAGAAAAGAACAAAATTACAAGCTGAATATATGGCTCCAGATTTGAGACTAGATGAATTTACATCTCATTCTGTCTTCTCATTCTATCCCTATACAAACTCATTTATCTTCCAGTGCAGGGGGGGGGAGATTACAAGAGAGAAAGAAGATAATAACAAGGCAATGAAGAGACATTTCCAAGGGATGATATACGAAAGCTTTTCAAATTAAAAGTGATCACCAAATACCGATTAATTTCTACAATATAAACGTAATTTACTCCGAACGATAAATGAAATCTTAAGTAATGTTCTCTCAAGACTGAACTATATACTTATCATTCCAATTTAAAAATGAAATACTAGGCGGTTCAAATATGACCGGGACTGATTAAAAAAAAAAACATAATTGCCAAACACTTACTTGCACATGTCAGTCTTCAACGTACTCCCCTCCAGAATCAACATATTTTTTCCAACTTTCTGGAAGCATCCTGATGCCCTCCAAAAAAAGACTTGTGGTTGGCGGCGCATCCACTCCCGAACAGTCTGGATGACGGCGTCGTTGTCCACAAACCACATGCCTTGCAAGTCTGATTTGAGCCTTCCGAATAGGTAGAAATCACTTGGGGCCAAATCGGGACTGTACGGCGGATGTGTCAGAAGGTTCCATTTCAATTTCCGGAGGGTTTCCATTGTTGTTTGGCCGTATGGGGGTGTGCATTGTCTTGAAGGAAGGCTACCTGCTTTCAACCTGTCTTCCGCTGGGATCGGATCTTACTCCAAGTTCCTTGATAGTGATGCGCATATTCTCACGAATAAGCACGTCTGCCCTCTCTGAAGCACTTACACCACTCAAACACATGGGTCCCTGAGAGACACTCTTCCCCATACTGTTGTTGGAGTCTGTGGTGAATTTCAGTGGACTGGACGTTTTCTCCAACAAGGAATTTGATCACAATGCGTTGTTCCATGCTCCACAGTAGCTTCTGTTCTCTCATCACTCTAGCAACTTCCAGACAGGACTGAACAGGTTCTAACCCTAACAGGAGGGAGGGTGGAGGTTGTGGCTTCACTCTCGCAAGATCGCACAGCTGCTGCGAAGTGTGGCTTGTTTACAAAAAAATCAGTCCCGGTCATATTTGAACCACCTTGTATTACCACTGACTGAACTCTTTCCTTCTAAAAAGTAAAAAAGTAAAGCTATCCCCGTACCAGGCCGTGAAGGCCCATAGGCTTGTGAGACGTTGAGGGTCCCACATTATCTAGACAATCAGCTCAAAGATGGCAGTAAGATTGTCAGCCCTATGCGCCGGCCGCGCTTACTCCCAAGGAAAATTATTTAATTAATTCCTGGTACTCATTTCTGTTAGAGGCTGAGTAAACCCCAGGGCCATAGTGCGGCTGGAAGGATTAGGACAACTGAAAAAAATCCAATGACCTCATCGGGACTTGAATCCGCGACCTTCCGGCTTGTAGCATAGCTCCTCAACCACTACGCTACCGTGTGCCCCCAATCTTTCCTTCTAAACCTCTTTTAACGATGATAGCTCCATAAGGTCATACTACCTACATTTGCATCATAAATATTACATAATTATAGAACTTCCCTAATGAACATAGAACCAAATAAGACAAGAGAGAGGACATGTACACCATTTTTCCACACGGTAATATCACTGAACATCAGAGTTGGGTGGGTAGAACTCCATTTCATACTTCACAGGTCCCAGGTTCATATCTTGAAATGGAGACAGACTAACACCACTAACCTTCTCTGTGGCTCTCATTAGTTCCTCCAGCAAAATCTTTGGATAGTATCTTAAAGCAAGCCATGACCACTTCCTTTCATATTTTTTTCTAATTCATTACTCGCTAATTCTTTTATCATTGTTGCTATATAATCTTAGACATTGAAAGTGTCATTATGAACAAATTAAAAAATAACGACATGATTATGCAAGCATATACCAAATACAGGGGGGGTCCAAAAAAAGTACTCTCTTTGATAGTCAATATCTTTGGAACAAAATAACATGTAGTTACAATTCTTGCACGGTAGTGTAGTGTAATGTTTTCTCAACAGATGGCGAAGGTCATATGAGTCACATGAGTGTCGAGCCGTGTGTGCACTGAGAGCAGAAGACAGCAGCAACAATGGCTGAAAGGTTGTTCTTTGAGCAATGGAAGGCCGTATTGAAGTGGTACTGGAAGTACAAAAACATTAAAGAGTTACGACACTGGCAGAATGAGTTTGGAACTCAGCCACCAACACGTCGAACAATTGCTCGTATTTGGGATAAATCTGAAGCAGACGGTACTGTTCATGATGTACATAAGCATAGATGTGGGCGACCACGGACAGTAACAAGTCCAGCTTCCAGTGCTGTGGTGTTGCAACACTTTACACGATCACCGCAAAAATCTGTGAATCAGTGTGCATAAGAAAGTGGGGTAAGCCGATCAAGTGTACGGCGAATTCTGAAGGCTGCAAAGATGTTGCTCCACCTCAGAACCATTGAGATGTCAGGGCGTACTTGGATGACACTCTACCTGGACGATGGATAGGTCGAAGAGGTGCTACTGAGTACCCACCACGATCTCCAGACCTAACACCTCTCGACTACTACCTATGGGGATCCTTGAAGGATGAAGTTTATCGACAAAAGCCAGCTACACCGAACGCACTACGAGAAACCATTGAAGTGTTGTGTGCAGCCATCACACCGGACACACTGACAGCCGTAGTTCTCTCAGCAGTTCGGCAGCATTGACGCTGTTTAGCCACTGATGGTGGTCACTTTGAACACATACAATGACTCTCTCTCTCTCCGCGCAAGAATTGTAACTACATGTCATTTTGTTCTGAAGATACTGACTATTAAAGAGTGAGTACATTATTTTGGACCCCTCTGTATATGACTAATTCCACTCTTTTGACTGCCATTTCAAGAAAACACTGAAATCTCAGTAGCTGGGACTGGTATATACATGCACATACACCACAATTCACGAAGAAATTAAGATGAATAATGTGTGAAATCTTAGTAACAATTTTTACAAAATTAATTTTGGAATGCACACTGATTTCACTGTGTTCTGTGGGTTCAGTAAGGTACAAATGGACGAAACAAGAAATTAATATAAGTATCTTAGAAGAAACTAGGAACATCAAGGCCCTGACAGAAGGAAAATATTAACACCAATCTCAAGGTACAGAGCTCAACATTTGAATTGAGAAAGTACAGGGTGAGCTCCAACAGAGAATATTTGCAAGTATAATGTCATTATGGGTACCATAATATCAAGAAATATGAAATTATTTTAATTGTATTGGGAAAACAATTATTAACTAATTTTTTGGTTCCTTGGACCAGGGGTCCCCAAACTTTTCAAACCGTGGGCCACATTAGGTAATTCAGCACTTTCAACGGGCCAGATAAAATGAGAAATTAATAACTCTAGGTATATGAGTTTTANATCACAAGTAGCGACTTTAAATGTTCATCGGATAAATTTGCCCTGTATTTCGACTTGATGTACTTCATCTGGGAAAAAGTTTGTTCACACAGATATGTCGTCCCAAAAATGGAGATAAATTTACAAGCAAATTTCTTTAAATTTGGAAATTGCTCAGAGTTCAGAAATTTATAAAATTCGATCAAATTTCTTTCCCTGTATTTGTCTTTAATATATGATAATTTTCCTGAAATTCAATAATTTCAATTTAAATTTGACTTGGGACATCTGCAGCATCACAGTCAAACAGATTTTGAAACAATGTAATTTCCTGAGCACTGGCATCCAAATAAGCAAATCGCTTCCGAAATTGTTCTTTCAAATCTGAAATGACTAAATTTGCAAATGAGGAAGGAAATTCTGCTTCACCCTTTTTATGCAACTCTGCACAGTATAGCATATGAACAAAGTTACAATTTTTCACTTGGCTTTCCAGAAGTATCAACTTTGCTCTGAATGCCTTGATAAGTGCAAATAAATAACAGACTAAGTTATTTTCACCCTGCAACTTTAAATTAAAATGGTTCATATGGTTTACCAGATCAGCAAAACTGCTAATTTCCAAAGCCACTTGGTATCTGATAAAAGTGGTTCATGATGGTTTTTCTCGGTAAGAAATATATCAGTTTCATTCCTGAGCTGAAAGAAGCGCGAAATAACCTTCCCACAGCTAAGCCATCGAACTGCAGTATATGTCAGGTCAATAAGCTCGGAATCACATTTACCAGTACTCATTGGAAAATTAGTTCAATTGGTGCATTTCTGCACAATTCTTCTGCGGGCCGGATAAAATCACATCGCGGGCCGCATGTGACCCGCGGGCCGTAGTTGGAGAACCTTGCCTTGGACCATTACTAAAGTTTTCCAATTGGGAAAAAAGTGTAAGATTTGAGGTTTTCACTGTGGTGACTAAGAAAAATGCCGTCTTCTGGGATGTGGACCATGTAGATCTTCAGGGTACCCTGAAGATGAAGGCAATACGTTCCTCTGAAACATCAGTTCATGCAAGATCTACATGGCGCCACATCCCAGAAGACAGCATTCTTCTGGGGGAAAAAAAAGTATTGTGTCGCATTGTGTATACATTAATTACAATATAAGGCTAATGAATTTACATATCCTATGATCAGTGTAAAGCTGACAGTAGTTTTATTAATCCTTTATTTAAACAATGAGATTAAAATTTCATATAATGGACAGCAAAACTGTAAGATTTCTCAAGGTAAATACCTGGCTCCTGTAAATTTTTTCACTTTTGTCTGTCTTTGACGAATTTCTTCCTGCCTGATCGCTAGCAGTTCCACTTCATCACGTTCTTTTTCTTCTACACTTCTTGTGATGGCTGCATCAGCCAGCTGTGCTGGGTTCTGCTCTCGAAGCATCAACGACACAATCTACAAGTGACATTTGGTAGTTCTTGACAAAAATAAACAAAATCTACACCTTCTTTTCACAAAATAGTTGTAATTTTATGGAATTTCAAAATACTGTATCTACTTTCACAATAAATGTTTACACAGCAGCCAACTCAGTGTTCGTAACTGATTTTAGAAAGAAATATGTCAGGGTGACTCCATGCATTTATGTCCTCCCATGCTGTACCAGCATTTCCTGAATTGTCAGAAACATTCAGTGGTGTTTAATGTTTTAACGCATTTCATTTCTCTCGGGAAAAAGGTTAAAATTATACCTGTGTTTGATCAGAATGGCAAACATATTCTTGTTACTATAATACTTTTTTTTTAATTTGATTAGTGGGGGGTGGAGTCCAACTGGGTCCACTCAGCACAGCAGCCACTGATTGGCCTATTGTAGCCTGCCCCGGGTGATTATGATGGAGAATTTGGTGGAATGAAGATTGGCAGGGAAAACCGAAGTACTTGAAGAACATCCACCCCAGAGTCACTTTGTCCACCACAAATCCCACTTGACCAGACCCGGGATCAAACCCAGGCCACTGCAGTGGGAAGCCAGCGACTAACCGCTTGAGCTATGGCACGGCCCTTACTATAATATGTTACTGTCTCTTTAAAACATCTTTCAGGGTATGTCATACCTTGAGAAGGAAACCTTACAAAAAATTTCTATGTTCAATGAGATCTCCCATCTTCTGCTGAAGACAGAATCTTTCTATTGACAACACAGTGATCTATTTCATTATCAGAAAATGACACAGTTTATTGTTAACTATTTCAATAGGAGGCAGATGTACACAAAAACGCCTTCTATCTATTCTTATATATATATACCTGCAAAAGAAAAACGTTTTCCTTCAACTGTTACTCTACTCGTACTGTTTTACAAGAAACAAAGAAAAGTATAAAAAAATAAACAGTCAGCATGCTGGAGACAAATGAAATAGGGAGACCTTGTATAATGTTAGCTACTACATATAAATGTATGACGGTTTCTTTCCTTCTTGTTTCATGCTATCTACTGCATACACAAGCTGTGTCCACCAACTTTCAGGGAAACAAAAGCTGCCAAACTTTTGTAAATATCTACAGTAATACTGCAGGAGGAAACTTTACCTTTGTGTCACAAAATGCTTTCCTTAGTTTCCTCATTTTTCCCCTCACTACTTTCTTCCTTTGCTTGGTATTTTGTTTTTCAGTAATGCATCTCTTCTTCACTAACTTCCCAAGTGCCTAACCTTTTCAACCACACAGCCCTTTGTCTGGTACTTACTGAAGCCATAAAAACATTCTATAACTTCTACAGCCTTTCCAACTAAACATACAGATCCTCTTATACAATTCTTCTGTGAAGTAAGAAACTTAGAAATTTCGTAAGTTTGACGATGCCATTGTATATTAATTAGACACTGGAATATAACGTCAAGCAATTCCGAAATAGTTGTCTAACAGAGTAGCTACTACTTCTCCACTTGTGGCATAAAAACCATGGCGTGCTGAACCAGTGCTAAGCAAGATTAATGGAGCACATAAGAACGTGGTTCCCTTAACTTACAGCAACGTCTAGCTTCTATTTAAGAGGGATATGACTGAATATAGTGTGGCATAGGTTTGTGCTATTGCTTCACACATGGGAGGTCCAATTCAGTAACCCATTTTTTAGCCTGCTTTCCTTATTTTGAAAATAGAAAAGGAGGCTTATGAGATCACCTTGCTGTCTGTGTATCTCTTCCTATTTTTTTTTTTTCATTTTCTATGTGGTCTGTGGGGTATCAAAGAAAGTAGGCAACCAGTTGATCCCAGAACTCATGCATGGCCACAGATGCGAGGCCTCATGTGTGTGGACTTTTTTATGTTTCTCTTAACTCTCACTGATGGTTTATGTTGTGTTTGATTTATATATTCTGTCTTGTGTTGGTCCTAGAGTCCAGTGGGGAAGAGATCTATGGATTTGGCCCATCTAAGTAGGCTTTTATATGAGGATGGAGACACGAGTCCAGTCTCTGAAATGTTGTTTTTAAATAAATACAATGACTCTGGAGAATGTCCAAAAATTCAATAATTGTACTAGAACTTCCTGTTCAATTTAATCTACCCCTCTATAGCTGTGTTTTTCTGCTGTTACTCAAAACTGGACATGAACCTATCATCGGTTCTATACAAACAATAGCAAAACATTAAAAAAAATGGTTATGACTGCTATGTCCAAAATCTATGCAAATTCATATGCTCATGCCCTAAAAGCATCATATCACTGGAAATCCAGCTCTGAATCTGTAGGTCTTGCTGGAACAGTGTCAGGGGCACCAAGAGAACATCTCACAACAAATTAAACATGGAGCATATGAAATCTAAGTCTGAAACATAAGAGGCCTCAGCTTGGGCAACGAGACCAGCTTGGCCATCTTGGTAAGTAAGTGATCAAATTTCTTGGCTCAAACAGTGTATTTACTTATGTAACTTTTATATGTAGGAGCTGGGGAGGCACAGTCGGTACAGCGACTGGCTATAGGCTGGATGATGAGGATTCCCTGGGGCATGAAGCTGACCACCCATCTCCAGCTAGAGTTGAGGTCAAGAAAATATGGATCTATACATCCACCTCCTGTACACCTTCATTGCATAACAATTTTATCTTTTACTAACAACATAGTATAGGGTGTGGGCAAACAAGAAAAAGGAAAAAGAGGGACAGAGAGAGGACAACTTAAACAAACTCCATTTATTGCAAATTTGTGTTCTCCAGCTCATAAAATGAATTCATCTCAGGTGGCTGAGATGTACAAAACTGATCTGACAACAAACACTGAGTCATGAAATGAAGACAGATTAGAATATATAACTCATAAAGAAAAACAGACAAAATACAGAGATAAGCTGCAGCAGTAAATCTTTACACAGAATAAATCCAAAAAGCACCAAATACGAACAGATACAAAGTCCAAGAGACAGGATGATTCCACAGTACAGTACTTTCCTTCTGGTACACAGCTCAGGAATGTACTTCCATCTTCACCATGTTGCACAAATCTATTCAGGTATTTTTAAAACTCATTTTTCTAGTGCATTTCTACCCAACAGCTTTAGGCAAATGATGGGGTGTAATTGAATAAAACAGACTATGACCACCTCCCCTATAGAAATTCTGAATAAATTTTCATATTCTAATACACCACTCTGTTAGCTTCAGTGAACAACAGTGTCAGATGATGAATAAAATCGTCAAAACTCCATTATCCTGATCACAAGGTAGGTATTATAACCATGATTAAGCTTCTAGTTTACGCCTGCTGGGCATATAATACACAACCATAAAGTTATGTGTTATATATGATCAGAGTTGACTGCACCTGACCTATATCGCAAACTTGGTGGAAATATACTCCCACTTCCATGTTACAAAACCTCCTTACCTTCTATGCACTATTATCTACATCAATAATTTGATTTATCTAACAGTTCAATACAAACGGTAATTAGTAACTGAAAAAAAAAATGTTACTACAGATATGCAGTGGAACATATTAGGAGACATCATCAGAACATTCCAATGCCAGCCAAACAGAAAAAGAATTTACATAACTTAAAAAAAAACTCCAGGGCCTGCAGACCGCAAGTGAACTATACTGACCCAGCGACTACTGCTTGTTGGTGAAGTTAGTGCCAACTTTAGCGGATAGAGGGTGTCGCGTGATCAGCTCAACAAATATCCACAGCCGTTAATTTTGGTCTTCTAGACCTGGGCCACTATTTCCTTGAAACAGCTCCTCAACTATCCTCAGGAGGCTGAGTGAACCCCGTTCCAGACCCACTGCTTCTCAGAAAATCTGGTAGTGTCGGGAATCAAACCCAGAACCTCTGGATCTGTAGCCAGGAACCCTAACCACTGGACCACAGAGGCAGTCATTTGTATAACTCTGGCAGATTAATAAAATGGTTTTTCATAAATAAGTATTGGCTGAAGTGCCAAAAATACAAAAATGATAAATGATGATGTCAGACTCATGGTTCTCATAGTGATGACTAAGAAGGATACTACTTACTGGGATGTGATGCAGTATAGTGTGACAGAAGTTTGCCACTGTTTCAGAGGAAAGTACTGATTCCATCTTCAGGGCTAAAGAGAACACTGAGCAAGCAGACTTCAAGACATTTCAAATATGATGTANCCAAATCCCAGAAGACTGCTTTCTTCATGATGTACACTGCTTACCACTTTAAGTGGGGTCCTTTGTTTCAGGTCTCATTCAGAAAATGTACATTAAATAAGATTACTTGTAATATACTTAGTTACTCTGTATCTAATTTTATTGGTTAATGAAATACTTACCTCTAAAATATGCATATAATACTGTTGCTCATTCTCAGAACAAGCTATATACAAGAACAAATCAACCATTCCTGACTGATGAAGAGCCCAAAGCACCTGAAAGCAAGAAAACAACAAATTATAACATGTTCAGATCTTCTCAGGCAATAATCAAAGCTAATGTTGAGTTAGAAATCAATGTTTTGAATATCTGCTCTGGCTTCATCATTAGTGTCTGATCTTCCGAGAAGATTTTCTTCTGTTTATTTCCAATGAAAAGTTTGAATCTTATGTAACTGATCAAAAACTAAATAGAGATGTCTTTCTCAGTAATTATTAAGACACTGCATATTCTGTCAACAGTTGAAACATTACCTGATCATGAACACTGGCATCGTTGTCTGTTCTCTTCTCGACCTCTGGATCGGCTGGAACTTGCAACACATTCCGTACCAAAATCAGGATTCTCTCTATAACTAGGCCTTTTTCTTCTTCTCTCTCCATTGAATCCTAGTAGGACAGAAACAGATAATCTGTACAGGATCTCTCCATTGAATCCTAGTAGGACAGAAACACATAATCTGTACAGGATACAAGAGTCTCCTGAACAAATTGCATTCCAAGAATTCACTCGTCTTCTCTTTGGAACTCACAGCTTACTTACCTCCAATGCAACCATAATAAAAGATAATAATAATTCAATTCTTTATTATTTATGTGCTGAGCCAACAGCCTAAAGGCCAATTACAGACACAGCACAGTGTAGACAAAAATAGTTACATACTGGACAAACACAACATAAAGTCAAAGACTAATTAAAGGTAAGCACTGGAGGAAAACATATTAATGCATATACGGAGAGAAATAAAGTAGTAGTAGTAGTAGTAGTAGTAGTAATAATAATACTAATGCTGCTGATGATGATGATAATAATAATAATCTTTTACAAAGTGAAGTCCTTCTTGAGCAGTCAACATTCGTTCAGCTACTCATGAATTTCCCAATATTTTATGGAACCCAAAAGTATATTACCATGTGAACAAGAAACAGCCACTGGTCTCTATTCTGCACCAGAGGAATCCAATCCATCACCCTCTAAATCATATTCATCTAAAATCCAGTTTAATATTATCCTTCCACATATATCCAGGTCTTCCTATTGGTCTCTTTCCTTCTGGTTTCCCCACCAAAACTCTGTAGTCGTTAGTTTTCTCTCATACATGTGTTATGTGGTGTCTCTCATCCTTCCTGAATTGATCAGTCTAATTGTATTAGGTGAGAAGCATAAGTTATGAAGCTCAACACTATCTGTTTCCGGCAATCTCTTGTTATTTCATCCCTCTTCAGTTCAGATAATCTTTTCAGTACCCTGTTCTCAGACATCATGAGTCTCATGTTCTTCACTTAATATCAGAGACAAAGTTTCACACCCATACAAAACTAAGGGCATAATATTTTACAAGTGTTTTACTAATTAAATAACACAGCATCCAGAATGGCTCTGGGGCCCACCAAACGTCATACCGAATGAAGGCTATTTCACACAGAAGAAAATAACTACACCCATCTGGTGCTGAGATTGGAATGCATAAAATTATGCTTACAGACCCTCATGTCCTCATAATGTGCTACATAATTAAGCATTGGGACTACTTTTATCTTTGTATATAACTTTTTATATTAGAAATTTTCAGTTACTTGGAAACTGTTGAATATAACCTCAAAGATATCTGTCATCACCTTCCTGTAACTCAAATTTCAGCACCTGTAAATATCTGAGTTGTTAGCAAAATGTACTGTTTTAAACTGAATGAGTGAAAATTTAAGTTATATGTAAACTAAAATAAAGAAAGAAATTAGTATCACTACCTCCTGAAAAACATTTATACTTACAATTTTGAGTATATCTCCCAGTTTCACACTAAGTAATGCCCAAACTCTGTCATCACAAAATGCAGCTTTGTAAGACTGCAAATGGGTTATGATCTGAAGGTAATAGTTGCGTGATGTTTTTTCTGCTGGCAACTCTTCACGATACAAAAGGAGTGCTGGATTTGTTAGATTCACCAACAATCTACATTCAAGGTAAGAATTTTAAATATTTCACAATATATTCCTTTGATGCTTGGTAACAAGAGGTTAATTAAAAATTCATTACAGATGGCTCTAGCTGAGTAAACATTGTAACACGTTATTTCTGACTGGAAGATTGACTTGTAACATTCTCATATTATGACCAAACCAAGTACATGTTATTGGTATAAGCTAAAACTAACATCTGACTTAAGCCCTTCTTATTATCAAGCACTCAAAATTTATGAACTGAAATTTTAGACACATCCTTTGAAATAATATCATGTAATAAAACTGGCCTTCCTCACCTCAAAAGTACATCAAACAAGTCTGACTTCTGCCAATAATCCTTTAACATAGGTAACAAATCTGCCTGAAGAATTTTTGCTTCACCAATATACCGACGAATTTCATGATTTTCATCATCCCGACGTAAATAACGAATGAGGTCCTTTATGGTTTCTGAAATATTACAGTAAATGTTGCAAGAATGTATACTTCAACATTACTACTTACATGCCACAGTATGAAATATTAGGCCTATACTAATCAGCAAAGATTCTGCACAGATATTTACCCTGACAGTGAATATCAATATAATACTTGCTGCCATCAAAATAACCCAGGGCACTGCATGTTGCTGCAAGCTCAGCATACAGCAAAGTAGACATCTTGCGTAAGTTAGAGACAGGCCATAGAGGTTAGTTCCAAAGTTTCATAACTCTCAGAACTTCCAGTCTGAAATATTAAATATAAATGCACATCGTTAAAAACTTTTTGAGAGATGGGAAAACTTGAGACGCTCTTACCACAATATATTAAATTATAGAACTGTGCTTAATATTTGGCTATATATATTTGCAAGCCTTGGTCGAAAATCAGAACTAAATGAACTCTTTCCAATTTCTTCAGGTTAAACTTTTAACCCATACCAACCGATTTCGTTCTGCATATAACCTTAATTCATTTACATCGACTCGCTACTTCCTACGTACTCAATACTACTAGCTGAAATTAACTTCGTACTAACATTCCTTGATTCAAAGCAAATTAAACGACATAAAATTAAATTATGATTCTTTTAATGAACTGTTCTTTGAAAAATATGTTTCCACTAACAACACGACCAACTTCTCGCCATATGCGATGAATTTGGCGGGTTGAAGTAGCCAATCAAATGTGAGAACCAATCACAGACTGGCGAGGGAAATGTAAATACGTGTACTAATGGACGAACTGCACTGTCAGAAAGATTAATTTGCTATATTTTGGACAACCTGTGCCTATAGTCCTGTCTTTATATCTGTTTAAGTTACATGTTATTGGCACATTAGGTCATTTAGCATTTATGCAGAGCTTGGCCGAATTGGGTACGGCTGGTATACGACAGGTTATGTTCGGTTAGCATATCGGACCACTACGCATGAACACAAGCATTATCTTGCGCGTTGAGTCTCGAAAATTTTACGAAATTTCATTCTGTATGACAGTTATGGTAAATTTTTTAAGTTTTCAAATATTTCCTAGCATTTAAAATTAAAATAAAAATCAGATTCTCCGAAATTATGCAATGATTTCAATTATGTAAATTTCAGAAAAAAATCGAATTCTTTAAACCTTCGGCATATTTCTCACTTTGTTATATATTAAAGTTTCACGGTTTGGAAATTCTGAACAATTTCCGTATTGTCATATTACAAAAAATTTGTAAACACAAAATTTTAAAAACTGATAATTTTTAAATCCACCACGCAAGCTTAGGTTACAGTACAAGTATGTTTAGATTTGGTTCAATGGGGTTATGTTGAGGTGGACTACTGTGCATCCACCCTTGCATCTGGGCAAACAGCTTGGTCAGATTGACTTGCTCTAAGTTACGTTGTTCAGACTACTACAGGTTATGACAAGGCTTGGTCAGATTGGCATAGTTATAATTCTACATATTCACAACATCAACTGTACCTCTGGCCATTTCATCTCCTGGTACACATTCGAAAGGAGGTTGTGTGGCCCTCATGGAGTCACTCTGGACACTGGAGGAATGAAAAATATCTTGCCCTGCAAGAAATCGAATCCTGATCCCTCAGTCATTGAGCCCATAGCCCAGTTTATATGCTGATTGAGCTACACCAGGCACATCATTTGTATAGTAAGTATATTATTGCACAAGAAAAAGAAATTCTGAATGAAAGCCAATTAGTCAATTTTACCCAGAATGCTGTGCTGTATTTTATTAAGATAGTTCTTTTCTCTAATGATAATGATATTAGCAGCAAAGAACAACAGAGGTAGCGGTTGTAGTAGCATAAAACATGGCAATTCTTACAGCCTATGAGATATTCTGGACATCTATAAGAACAAAGCGTATATCCATTTCTTTCGGAAAAGGTGTATTCAAAGAAGCCTGCATAACCATGTTTAATTTGAGAGAACAGCAGCAGCAGCAGCAACAACCATCATCATTGTCATTCAATGTTACTTCCAAAAGGGTTAGTAATTTTATGAGAAACATTTCTCTGCCTTGCCATAAGCACTCTTCCTTTGTCTATGTCCATGCTTTCCCTACTCTCTTTTGAAGGCATCTTCACTCTTTTGGTTTCTCTAATTTCTCTGGCCTCCAAAATTGTCATTGTCATGTTTATGCTCTCAAAATAATCATACATAATCTGGAAACCAGAATACACATGGCCAATATTAGCAGTAGCTCTAGGCACAGGAGTGGGAGTAAGAGTAGTAGTAAGAGTAGGAGAAGCAGGAGAAGTATTAGAATCTCATGGCAGTGACTGTTAAGTTACTGTCTTCTGCAATACAATGTTATCTAGTCCTCCAGATATTTATTAACAACCCAGTGATAGAGGCAGCATATCTCTCCAGAATGCTACTAAAACTTAGAACTACATTCAGTCACACTTTTTAAAATCATCCTGCACACTTACATAAATAAGTTGAAGTCCATCAAGTGTTAAGTATCAGTAAGTAAAAGTTTTGCCTTTAGATGTTCTAGCTAGTACTGGCAATCATCAGAAAGCAAAGTAAATACTGTGAACGAACTACTTCACATATGTTATTGTTAGAACATAAGGGATTACGATGGTGATATCAAAGGATGTACAGCAGTTACAGAAATTAAGGCTAAATAGTTAATATAATTAAAATATGTTCTGCATATCAAGAGTATTTTCTTAATCAGTTATAATATGTAAAAAGCCCTGTTCATTAGATAGAAGAATATATTGAATATCTACTATTGTTGATTAAATAGAACATTTTATTGGCAGTTGTACTGTGGGCTATTATGGCAATCTGTGCAATGATGTCATGTGTAATCCAGTAAGTACTACACTTGGGCTGCGCCATAGCTTAAACGGTTAGTCGCTGGCTTCCCACCACGGCGACCAGCGTTCGATCCCGTGTCTGGTCAAGTGGGATTTGTGGTGGACAAAGTGGCGCTGGGGCAGGTTTTCTCCGAGTGCTTCGGTTTCTCCTGCCAATCTTCATTCCACCAAATGCTCCACAATCACCCTCACCTATCATCTGGGGCTGGTACAATAGGCCAGAAGTGGCCGCAGTACAAGGGACTTAATCCTACCCCACTAGCAATAAGAAAAAAAAGTACTACACTTCACTGGACTACACATGACATCACACAGATGGATGCATGGCCCACAATACAACAGTCAATGAAATATTTAATGTTACCAACAATAGAAAGCCTCAAATATATTCTTTTATTTACTCAACAAGGCTTCTTCACAGATTTTAAGCTGTTACTTTAAATACACAGCTTATTTAACTCTATCATGTCTTAATTTCTACAACTACTCTGATAACACAGGAACAACCTATGTATAAACAACAGCATATGGAAGTATGATTCTTTACAGTGATGGCCATGCCTTCTGACAATGGCCAATTATGACTGAAACAAGTAAAAGCAGAACTTTTACTTATTCCTGTTACACTAGTAACACTTGATGGACTTCTACTACTGTAATGGTTCAAGACATCTCATAAAGATCTTGTACACTGCTTAAATTACAATGACAATATGTGTTTCATATCAAAATTGTTAACATAGATTCTTTTATTTTTCATATTACATTGTCTATATGAAATATAGTTCTCGTTCATTTACATCATAGCCTTGCAGGCTGAGCAGAGATTAAATGACAGGATTTCATTTGACAATGATTCTAATAATTATAAATATATCTTCAGTTGCCTTCAGTGTCACATTATCTTGAGGAAAACCATGGATACCAAGAAGCATGTTAAACTGGAAAGAAATAAGATTGTAAAATTATATAACATACATTTATCCAGGGCGTTCAGCAAATATTGTACTCTTTAAATTTTAAATTATATACTAATGCTCAAGCTCAAGTATTTATTGCATCAATATAAAAGATTTTAATTATTACTTCCAGTATATTGAAAACGGTAGTAATCAAAAGTGAAATGTTTTGAGAAACTTTATTAAATCCTCCCAGTATTACAGTTCATAAAGATTAGTTCTGCAGTCAGGTCTGTTCACGCACAGAGGTGGACTGATGGGGAAACTCAGTGACTTAAATAGGCCATCTGCAGAGTGTTGAACTCGTCTCATAAAAATTGCATCTGAAAATCGTACCTGGCTTGTTCTGTCAATATGAGGACAAGATGTGTGACATGAAACCTATGTAATGTTTATGTATTCATGAAAGAAAAATGTTAAGAAATTACTGTGCCTATACTGACCCAGAATTAGTGTTTATGGGTAACAATGAATGGAAGTAATTTAGGGTACCAGTGACCTCCAGGCTTTAGCTAGTTTATTACCAGTCTTTACTTAGCACAAATGTCCACACAGTTCACCCACGATATGCCAGTCACTTGTCTCTCTCGACTTGTCCAATTTGTTAAGAGAAGATAAATTAAGAACTTTGTATGGTTGTTTCCTGCTTGTGTCTTCTGTAAGCTGTGTATGTGTGTTATATCACCTGTTCCACAAGAGTGTAGTGAACAACTTATTTATTATTTCTGTTTCAATACGTGTTTCAAGGGCATGCAGTCATCATCGGGTGAAATATACACATAGCTAAAAACCTTTTAGACAGATTTTCTTTTTTGTTAAAATAAAATGCTATACAAAAGTGAAACTTAGATAATATCTAGTTAGATTACTCACATCCATCCAATTATCACTGAACGCCTGTATACAATATACAGTTGTGTTATGCAGTTTACAAGAATTACAACACAAATACCTGTCTAGTCACTCTTGCATCGTAGTTCATGTTCTGAGATCATGTTCAGTGACTTCAGTATACATGGAATGAAGTTTATTAACTGAAGTATAGGCCGCGCCATAGCTCAAGCGGTTAGTGGTTGGCTTCCCACCGCGGCGGCCCGGGTTCAATTCAGGGTGTGGTCAAGTGGGATTTGTTGTGGACAAAGTGGCGCTGGGGCAGGTTTTCTCCGAGTACTTCGGTTTCCCCTGCCAATTTTCATTCCACCAATTGCTCCACAATCACCCTCACCTATCATCTGGGGCTGGTACAATAGGCCAGAAGTGGCCGCAGTACAAGGGACTTAGTCCCACCCCACTAGCAACAAAAAAGGCCTCTACCTGCACAGAAACACAGAAAAGCGCGCACACACACACAGAAACAATAAACATCCATGACCTCAGTGGTATTCGAACCCACGATCCCGGCTTCTGAGCGAGCTAAGACAGTGCATGCCTCAGATCGCTCGGCTACCGTGACCGGCAGTGTATAAGAATAATATATAAGAATTCAGTTCGTACCTCACAGGAAACAGATCCGAACCCACGATCCCGGCTTCCGAGCGAGCGAAGACAGTGCATGCCTTAGACCGCTCGGCTACCGTGACTGGCGGAAAGAGAATTATTCGGAGAAAAGTCACCCCAGTATCACTTTGTCCACCATAAATCCAGTACTATCTGATCTGTGTCGTACGCGGGCCACCGTCGTGGAAAACCGGGTTTCGGGTATAGGAAACTGTCTTCAGGCATGAAGAAGAGTAGTGAAGTATTAAATGAGCAGTTTAGAACTGTAGACAAGGTGTGGTCCCCTAGCTCGGGGATTCAGCTGAGTCTAAATCACTTGTCGTAGAACCCAGCTTATGATATGTTAAATAGAACCGACATCGACTTCGATGTATTCCGAAAATAACAATGGAACATAAGTGGATGCGTACTGGATTCAATTTTCTTATGATCAAGCCCAGTTGGGGGCTTTTGTTAACATGTTAATGAGCTTCACGATTCTATAAAATACGACAAATATTTCTGACAAGCCGAGCGATTATCAGCTTCTCAAAAAAGGGCTCTGTTCGACGTAGCTAATTATTCTGTGTCGCATTTTGTATTCACTAAAATAAAGAGGCATAGAAACGAATTTTTAAAAGCTGTTTTAATTTCAAAAGAAAATCTAATCTTTTGTTCATTCTTCTGCCTTTTATTTGAGCTCACTTTTTATTAACATTGTTTGGACGCAAGAGAAACAACAAAAAAAATCTCTGACGTAATTTAATCACAATGGATTCTGCAGAAAGGTATGCAAACTCTGTTGTGAAAGTGCGTGATTGTAACGGACTAATTCTATTTCCCGCGCTTCAATCAGCCAGCATCACAAACATCCATAGCATAAAGGAAGCCAAGTGAAGTTATATTACATTAAGTCATACTGGGACAGCTTTGTGAACACTCTCCACCGTACGCGAAAGAAATTATTCGCATTATCTCTGACCTTATATTCCTCTGGATTGCATTCAAGATATTATCATGTGTTTGGATTTGTAACTAGATATATTAAACACTTTTTTTTTCCTTTGGCGCTACAGCTCTCATTTGGTCCTAGGCCTACCTCCATGAAACTCTCCGTTTCGCTTCGGTTCACTAGATTTTAGGCATTCAGTAGGACTCCTTGGGCGGGTGACCAGGTCGTTGCAAGGCCTCTACCTGTACACAAACAGAAAAACGTATACAAACATCCATGCCCTGAGTGGGATTCGAATCCACGATCCCGGCTTCCGAGCGAGCGAAGACAGTGCATGCCTTAGACCGCTCGGCTACCGTGACCGGCATATTAAACACTTACATATCGTAAATATAAGTAACTATAGGACTATTGCTACGTACTACATACTAAGACTTCTGAGTCTGCTGTGTCTGAACAAGTCGTTGCCTGGTGACGGATCCCAAAAATATCCACTGCTTCCCTGCGCACGTTCATATGTAATGTTGACTGTCTCACAACTAACTCATTACTTCAACTGTTCATAACATCGAGGCACTCACCACACAGAAAACACTGTTCCCCGGTTGCTGTTCAATTGTTCTGACTGAGACACAGCCTCCTCCTTTCAGATCCCTCCCAGTTCGTCATACAAGAACAGGTCAATGGTTCCCAAAATCTCTCTATTTGGCATCGTTTAAAGAATTAAATATAGATCTGAACCACAAAAAAAAAAAAAAACTTTGAGAAGCAAACTAAATATTTAATACATAATTTTTAATAATTTTAAAAAGTATTTCCTATGTTAAATTATTCTAACATGAACAATTTGTTTTAATAATAAACTTTTGGACGTACTACTTTCGCGAGCTATATACTGTAGCGTATTGACCCACGGTTAGGCAAAAACCTCGAAGCACATAAGGACATGTCCGAACTGTTTCCGAGCAACGGCTCGGTAAACACATTCCCATGGCTCAGTACTTCCACCGTAGCCCTGCGAGTCGTAGGAGGTGTAACTGAGCCACACTATTCCTGGCGGATATAAATTGGGAAGGTGACCCTCCCTGTTGGGGAATGTCGATTCTGAGACAGTAGAATGTCTCAGACCTGAGAATGACTGGGGTGGCGAGGGTCAGTGTCAGTTGTAAAGAACCATCCTCTCCTCAGAGCGGATGTTACGAAAAGACCATGACTGCAAATATTCAGTTGAAAAAAATACTGGTCGTGGTCTCAAGGGGCTTGTGGCCAAGACGAAATGATTGGCGGTAACTGCCAGTCGTAATAAAATAACCCTGAAGTTGACAGGCGTTCTGTATGGGATTTGAGTACTGAAGCAGAGGAATAGTCACAATTGTTCACATCCGTTACGAAGCAACGGCTAATGAAGACTGTAACAGACTGAGATGATACAGTGTGTCATATAGTGATCAGGGAAGTGTAGTAACGAGTTGAATAAATAAATCCCATTATCAATCCAAAACCAGTCCATAGTCGCACCCCTTAATCGTAACAATACAGTATAATATATTATTTAACGTATATATACCAGATGTTGGCACCGTGTAGCCGGAACACGCCGTGAATTTACATGATAGCGTGGCCTAAGCCATAACTCGACCAATAATCTGTGAAGCTCTATACTAGTTCGTATTTCATATACGTGTATATGTAAGCTCCGTGGTTTTGGTCCGCAAGCGAACTTTACCGACAGACCGAGCGACCGCCGCTTGTCGGCGAAGTTAGTGCCAACTTTAGCGGATAGAGGGTGTTGCGTGGTCAGCGCAGCGAATCCCCACAGCCGTTAATTTTCGGTTTTCTATACCGGATCCGCTATTTCTTTCAGATAACTCCTCAATTATTTTCACGAGGCTGACTGGACCCCGTTCCAGACCCACTACTTTTCAGAAAATCTGTTTGCGCCGGGAATCGAACCTGGGACCTCTGTATCTGTAGCCAGGCGCCGGTCACAGTAACCTCGCGGTCTATGGTATGAATTGTCTTCTCTCGCTCGGACGCTGGGATCGTGGGTTCGAATCTCTCTCAGGGCATGGACGTTTTGTGTGTGTATGTGTTTATCTTGTGTTTGTGTTGTCCTTTGTTCAGGTAGAGGCCTTGCGACGGGCTGATCACTCATCCAAGGAGTCCTACCGTCTGTGAAAATGATTACGGGACTGAATAAGTGGCCTTAAATGGGCTGGAAGAACCATTGTAAAGTATGTGTATAATAGATACTGTTTAGTAAGTTTGTCCATGTTTTCCTAATTAATTAAGCACCATATTATGACACGTATGGGATGTTCAGTGCTGGATTTCGGACATTTACAGCGGTGACAATAAATAGTACGGTATTTTGGTTTGTAACGCCGCGTATTTGAGAGAAAATATATGACTCTGAATTGTTTCATTTTGGTCCGTCACACTAACAGTTGCAATTATAAAAGAATAGTCCGTCCAATGTGACTATTTCAGTTTTCTCACTTGACGATTCACTAGCCTCACATGTTTCGATCCATTTGGATCATCTTCAGAGGCACCAAACACTTTTTTGAAACCACTATCACAACAGTTGTCAATCAAATACACATGTAATGTCCAAGTACACAATGTTCCATCTATCAGTCACAGCAGCCTTTCTGGTTATAGAAATATTTAAAGTTGTTTTTAAAGTTTTAAAAACTTTGTTAAATTTAAAATTCATAAACCATACGGTTCGTGTCAATAACCTCTGTCGTCTCTCTTCAAGATGGCCGATGTTGTGCCTCCTATGTAACTTGAGTAGGGAGATTCTTAATATTGTCCGTTATGATTTCTTGGCCCGCTGTGCTGTGTAAATATATGACGTTTTGGAGAAGAATATTTTCATCATCTTCAGGATTGAAGAGTGTGTGAAGTAAGAAAGTAGGAGGGGCTGACGGTAAACATTATGGACATTCTCGTTGTAGTGTGGGTTAATGTGTCCTTTCGAATGCCATAAATTGTTACATCGTAACTTATAATTAGAACAGAGACAGCTTTTTTATTATTTTTGGATATTGTAGATTCGACTGGTAGAATGATAGATGGATGATGAAGTGGTAAGAAATTGATTTGAAAGCCAGTACAGCGAGTGGCTATGAGCTTGACGGCCGAGGGGTAGGATTTCAAGTCGGGGGAGGGTTACAGATATTCAGTTCTCCACCTCGTCCAGACCCGCTCTCTGGTCTACCCAACCTCATATTTAATGGGTACCGGGGACTCTTTCCCTTGGATTAAAGCGGCCGGGGTCTGAATTTGGTCATTCACCTCCAAATAGTGTCGAGGCCAAGAAAATATAGATCTATACATTCACTCCTCCGTATGTCTTCATAGCGTAGTGCTTAATTAAGTAAGCACAGGGATAAATATTAATTCGCATATTGGGGGGTGGAGTCCAACTGTGTCCACTCGGCACGGCGGCCACTCATTGGCTTATTGTACCTGCCCTGTGTGATTATGATGATTGACAATTTGGTGGAATGAAGATTGGCAGGGGAACCAAAGTACTCGGAGAAAACCTGCCCTAGTGTCACTTTGTCCACCACAAATGCCACTTGACCAGACCCGACATCGAACCCGGTCCGCCGCCGTGGGAAGCCAGCTACTAATCGCTTGAGCTATGGAGCGCCCACTAGCACAGGGATAACTTTACCCTTTGCCCGTTTTTTTAATCGTAGTACTATTATATTTGCTTTGAGGGACTACGGAAAATCACGGTAAATTTTACTCATGACAGACGGCGTCCAGGCTGAGGTTCGTGTACCTCTCAAATAAATCTCAAGAGCTTTACCGCTAGGAGAACCCATCCGGTGGACATAGAATTAAAATATGTAGCGACTTGTACCCATCATGCAGAAATGTACATGGTGTGTCCCAAAAGTCATGAAATATATTTCTTTCCCGCGCTCCTACTGGTCGGAGCGCGCTGGAACCGGTTGGGTTAGGGGGAGGAGGCCTTTAGCTTCACAGCGCGCCCAAGGTCAGTCTGCTCGAGCATCGGAGGCATCAGTATCGCTGATTTAGTGCACCTGCGTTTTGTGACCACGTCACGGCGCGCGATGGCTGATACTTTCGAACAACGTTGGGCGGTCAAGTTCTGCACAAAGCTCACAAAAAAGCCGATGAAACTCACGAACTGCTTAAGCAAGCCTACGGGGAGTCTGCTCTATCATATGTGCAAGTTACAAGGTGGGTGAAGAAGTTTAAGGAGGGCCAGGAAGGAGTGGAAGATGACCCCCTCATCGTCTTTTTCGACGCCAAGGGTGTGGTCCACAAAGAGTTTTTACCCCAGGGACAGACCGTCAACGCTCCCTACTACGTGGATGTTCTAGAAAGATTAAGGAAAAGGGTCATCCGCGTGCGAAAAGACATCGCCGCTAACTGGCGGCTGCATCATGACAATACGCCCAGCCACACGTCTCTGCTCGTCCGTGAGTTCCTGGCGAAGGACCACGTGGCAACGCTANAATATATATATATATGTATAGTTCATGACTTTTGGGACACACCTTGTATGTAGTAATACCATAATTTATAATCAACCGTAAAGTCGTTCAAGAAGTCATGTTATTCAAGCCAGTAACTTATAGATACACGTGTTCAAATACCAGTTTCAGAATACTCCATTTTGTAGCAAATGTCTGTAAAATGGCCGCCATAATTCATTTAAATGACATTCCGTAACATAGATAACTGTATTTTACATGATATAAGTAGAACATACGGACTGTAGAAACACTCAATAAATTAGCCAGTAAAGTCCAAATATTGCAATTTTAGCGACGATAAATTTATTCAATTCAGAACAAAATGCTGTTAAAGCGATGTGCATGATAACTCAGATATCTATATAATTTAGCTCCAAAATATGAACCCAGTTCCGCCAAGTGAGCGCATTATTTTCTTTTCGGGTTCAACTCTTCTTCTTTCAAAAAGAGAACGTTTGTGTTTCTACGACATGTCATACAGCGACTGTCGCATAAAGAAGACACACAGATCATAAAAAGGAAAGGATTCATTTTTCCCCTTTATTTTTTATCTACACTCCTCAAGTTATTCTCTGTGTGTTCTACTTTCCACAGCCAACACAAAACTACCCCCATATAAAACGAAAAGTACCTCTTTAAATATTTAAGAATAACTTCCGTATGAATCCTACGTCCTTCTGTTTTATTTCAATTCTAACGGAACTGAATCGGCCTATTTT